CCTCTTTTCACAAACAGTGTGTGATCTGATTGACATTGCTTGTATCCTTTCTGCTGAACCGCAACATGGAATCTGCTAAACCAAGCTTTTGGTGATTGTTTTAGCCCGTATAAAGACTTCTTCAACTTGCACACCTTCTGTTCATTGCCTTGAGCTTGGAAACCAGGGGGTTGTATCATGTAAACTTCATCTTCAAGATCACCATTCAAGAATGCATTCTTGATATCAAACTAATGTAGATCCCAATCCAGGCAATAGGAGCAAACATTTCTGCATAATCAACTCCGTACACTTGTGTAAACCCCTTTGCCACTAAACGAGCTTTATACCTCTCCACCATGCCATCAGCCCTATGCTTGACGGTGAACACCTATTTACATCCAACTAGATCCTTTCCCTTAGGAAGATCTACAAGTTCTCATGTGCCATTTTTATGAAGGGCATTAATTTCTTCCTTCATGGCATCTGTCCATTCAGGTATTGAAAGAGCTTCAGCCACATTCTTGGGGATAGGGACATTGTCAATAGAAGTAAGAAAAGCACGAAAAGAGGGTCAAATGTTCTCATAGGAAACAAAGTTGGAAATGGGGTGTTTAGTGGTGCACAATCTARCACCTTTCCTATGAGCAATAGGAAGGTCAAGGTCATTAGCAATAGATGTATCAATTGCAATAGAATCAGGGACATCATTGGGAGCCAAGTTACCTGAGTGAGTATGATCCGCCCCCGAGGAGATTGATGGCACTGGAGGTACAACTTCTAGATTCTCCACAGCTCTTGAATTCGGTTGGCATTTGCGACGACATAAGAAGACATGAAAAGGCGGAGGATCAGGAAGAGGAGGGAGTTGAACCAGTTTCTCCTCATGCCTACACTCCCCCTGAGGAGAAACAAAAAAGAAAGGCTCATCCTCAAAGAAAGAGGCATCCATGGAAACATAAAATTTCTGAGAAACCGAATCAAAACAACAGTATCCCTTCTGAGTGAATGAGTACCCTAGGAATATGCAAGGAGTAGCACGAGAATCCAATTTCCCACGAGTGGGAGACAGATTTTGGACAAAGCACCAACAACCAAATACACGAGGAGGAATGGGAAGAAGGGGGCCTTAGGGAAGAGAAGCTGATGTGGGGCTTTGTACTCTAACCACCGAGA